AGAGGTCACAGCCTCCTCCCGAGTCAAGCAACACCACCAGTTTCAAGGCAGCTGAGGGTGCTCGGTGGCATCTCCTCCTTGCCAACACGRGCCTCCTGTGGCCTCCAGGTCACATCTGTTAGCCTGGCAGCTGGTTCTGTTCTAGATCCTCCCACTTATCCAAGGGGCATCTGCTTTGCAGCTGGGGAGGGGGGTTGGGCTGGTGAACATGTCACGGCTGCTCTGCCTTCGGGATACGTATGTATTCTGAGTACGTAAGGACAGCAGCCAGGCCAGCTGTGTGCGTCCACCTACTTCTAGCTGATGACACAGCTTAGAAAATAACTGCCTCGTCTTCCCGCCTGCACACACACCCCACAGCTGCCTGCTTCTGGCTCAACAGAAAGTTCCCTGCACCCAGCACCTAAAAGTCTGATGCTATGTTTTTTCCCCAAACTAAGCTAATAAAGAGGACACCACTCACCAAAGACCAGCCGGGCCGAAATAAGTTAACAGAAAATGAAATTTAAGAAATGCCTTGGGCTGGGGTTGTGGCTCAGTGGTAGAGCGCTTGCCTAGTACGCGGGAGGCCCTGGGTTAGACCCCACAAAAAATACTAAATAAAGGTATTRTGCCCATCTGTAACTAAAAATAATTTTTACAAATAAAAAAAAGAAAAGGAGTATCTTAAAGGGGGGTGATTCTTATTCCTAATCCTAGGACGATGTCCCTACTACATATTAAGTACTGTCCCTGTTCCTTAGCCAGAATTGCCCCTCTACSTTTGGCTACAGTTCTTCCTCCTTTGCACTGATTGCCGTTTAACATCTAATATATTTTAATGACTTTGTTTCCTGTCTGATCACCACGTCCCTCCTGGAGTCAGGAGGACTGTGCTATCGATCTCCTGAATCATCACACCTCGGGGAATAATGGGGATCCTAATAAAATTTGCTGCCAGGACAGGAGGCGTGAGTGACAGTGGATGACCAAGGCCCGGCAATGGACCCAGGGCTCTGGGCTGGACTTCTTCCACTCTCATGTCCCTCCTGTCTAAACCAGCACTGGACACTCACAAAGTGCCCACTGAGGGCTGAGTCCCACTGTCACCAGCAGGAGCTCTGAGCACACTGCAGGGCCCCACTCGGCTCCACTGCTAATGACATGTCACTTCTGGTGTGTAACCTCCTGGACCTCCAGGGGCACCCCCTTCCCCTGGGTCAGCACTAATAATTACAGGACCTACCCCACACGGCTGGGTGGAACRAAACGAGACCAGCCTTGGCATCCACAGAACAGCAAGAGTAAACGGTGACACGGGCTGCGGTCAGAGAGCAGATGATCGGGACACTTGTGCTCAGCGCCCCTTTCCATGCGATGGGAGGAGCGGCCTTCTAGCTACAGGAAGACTGACCAAACTTGTCTGGCTCTGAAATCAGACTCTGGCCTGAGCATGGCCTGTGGGATCTCCCCTGAGACCCAGGGGCAGGCTGATTTTCGTGGGAAAAGGTGTGGGTCTGCAGCTCCAGGGTGGTTGGCAGCCACGTTTCCCATTCTGAGGAGCAAGTGGGGCCATTCAAAGAAATGATGAGCCGGGCACGCTGGTGTGCGCCTGTAATCCCAATGATTCGGGAGGCCGAGGCAGGAGGATCAAAGATTAGAGGCTAGCCTCATCAATTTAGCAAGACCCTGTCTCAAAATAAAAAGTAAAAAGGGCCGGAGATGTGGCTCTGTGGTTAAGTACCCCTGGGCTCAATTCCCTATACCAAAAAATAAAATAAATACATAAAGGATGATGGATGGAAACGGAGAGATGAGAGCAGAGGGGGGACCTGGAGACCTGAGCCCTGCCGTTCCTGCTCCTGAGGCCAGTACATGTCGGCCTCCCATGAAGGCTGCCCAACCAGCCCTTTTGAAGAACCTGCTCTTGGCCCAAGTTACTTTGAGCTACAAGTGCAACAAGAGGGTCCCTGCAAGGCCAGTATGTGTGACCAAGAGCCATGATGGACAGACCAACATGTAATGTGCAATCGCTTACAGAGGGCTCACGGACTGCACATCACCTCTGGGAAGTGTCTGTTCCGTTCCTTGGCCCATTTATTGATTGGTTATTTGTTTTATCCATGTTGAGGTCTTTGAGTTCTTTCTGTATCCTAGAGATTAGTGCTCTATCTGATGTGCAAGTGGTAAAAAATTTGCTCCCCTTCTGTAGGCTCTCTATTCACCTCACTGATTGTTTCTTTTGCTGAGAAGAAGCTTTTTAGTTTGAATCCATCCCATTTATTGATTCTTGATTTTAAATCTTGTGCTACAGGAGTCTTATTAAGGAAGTTGGGGCCTAATCTGACATGATGGAGATTTGGGCCTACCCTTTCTTCTATGTGTGAAAAAATGTTCAACATCTCTAGCAATTAGAGAAATGCAAATCAAAACTACCATAGATTTCATCCCACTCCAGTCAGAATGGCAGCTATCAAGAATACAAACAATAAGTGTTGGCGAGAATGTGGGGAAAAAGGYACACTCATACACTGCTGGTGGGACTGCAAATTGGTGCAGCCAATATAGAAGGCAGTATGGAGATTCCTTGGAAACCTGGGATTGGAACAATCTTTTGACCCGGCTATCCTGCTCCTCAGTCTATACCCAAAGGAATTAAAAACAGCATACTACAGGGACACAGCCACATCAATGTTTATAGCAGCACAATTCACAATAGCTAAATTGTGGAACCAACCTAGATCCCTTCAATAGATGAATGGATAAAAAAATGTGGTATCTATACACAATGGAATATTACTCAGCATTAAAAGAGAATAAAATCATGGCATTTGCAGGTAAATGGATGGAGTTGGAGAAGATAATGCTAAGTGAAGTTAGCCAATCCCAAAAAACCAAGTGCCAAATGTTTTCTCTGATTCATAGTGGGATTGGGAGGGGGAGCATTGGAGGAAAGATGAACTCTAGATAGGGCAGAAGGGTGGGAGGGAAAGGGAGGGAGCTTGGGGGTAGGAAAGATGTTGGAATGAGCTGGACATCACTACCCTAAGTCCCTGTAGGAAGACATGAATTGGTGTGAATCTACTTTGTGTACAACAGAGATATGAAAAAATGTGCTCTATATGAGTAATATGAACTCTAATGCATTCTGCTATCATATCTAACAAATTAGAATTTAAAAAAACAAAAAGGGCTGATGAGAGGAAGAGGGTAATTAGCACGTGCCGCTGCTCACCTGGGGTCAGGCACTGTGCCGAGAGCTAGGCCCGCGTCATCCCATCTGTCCCTTACAGCCTTCAAGGGGGTGGGCACCATATTTKTCCCCATTTTATGAATGAGAAAGCTGAGACATGGACACCCAGAGGAGCCTCCCTAGGCCACAGAGCTTGGAGGAAGTCCCTGCTGACCTCTGACAGCCCTTCCATCTCAGGTGACCAGTCTGAGCCAGGTGAGTGCTCCCTGCTGAAGGTCACTGACGGTCACTGGGTGCATTTCCTACCCTGGCCCAAGCWGGCTGGAGGCGAGGGCGGGGGTTTCTGTTCTGCTCAGGGGAACCAGCCMAGAAGGCAGCAGATTCTAAGAACAAGAGGACGCTGGCCTGACCCTTGCCAATGATTGAGCTGTGTCATAAATACAGAATGCCCAGCTGAATTTGAATTCCAGATGGATGTAAAATACATTTTAGTGTAAGTATGTCCCCAACATTGCATGGGACACAATTTTATACTRAAAAGGTTTTCCCTGGCTCTCTGAAATTCAACTCTCCCTGGAAGCCCTGTATTTTTATGGCTAAATGTGGCACCACAGAGAAAACAGGGACTTGGCAAGTTCATGAGACTCCAGATCCTGGGCCCTGGAGCCTGCACCATGTGGGAGCTTCTGTTTATGCAAGGCCATGGGTTTCTTTGGGGTTATGCAGTTTAGCATTTCTGTCACTTGCATCTCCAAACACCCTAGTCACCTCGCCACTCGAAGGCTCCAACCAGGAAGAGGGAGCCCCAGCTCCTGCCACCATGCCAAACCCTGAAGGGACAGAAACCAGATGCTGCACTAAAAATGACAATGGCAACGTTTGGGACCTTGYGCTTGTATTTTTGGAACTGCAGGAAGGCAGCTTGACAGATTTTCTGGAATCCATCAGCTCCTCCTCAGTGTAAATGCTTTACTATAAAGTCACAGAGCGTGAATTCACCTAAGACTGTCAGAATCCCTCGTGAAAACCAGCCAACAAAAGTCACAGCGAAGAGGACTCCTCACAGTCACCAACTACACCAGGGACTCGGGAGTACAGACTTCAGGTTTAAACAGTAATGATGAATTTCCATGGGACTTTACTTAGGGGAAAAAAAACATCAATTAGCTCCACAGGAAAATTAGACTTTGGCTCAAATGTGGAACATTACAAACTAATCCCATCAACCAGGAAGGAGGAAGGAAGGACGCAGCGTTGAATGACGGAGGGTGACCACAGGACTGGGTTGCTGTTTCAGAATAAAAGTCGTGGTGTGGGTGTGGGTGCACTTGTGTGAAAGTGTGTGTGCAAGTGTGTGTGTGTGTGTGTGGGGGATGTATTGGGTCTAATGTCCACCAGCATGGATTCTACGTGCGGCACCTGGTAAATCTTCAATGAACAGGTATCATATATACGACGGTCATTGACACTCTTCAATCAACACAGGATTTTGGTGACCATTCCAGCCAAGAATGGACAGACAGTTCCTGTGTCCTTGTTGATAGCTCCAGTTTGAAGACCTTCTCAAGTGCAGAGGCTTTCCATGACACGGGACATACCACCATGGACATCCCACCATCTGGGGCACACTAACCTATAAGGGGGGCACGTCCAGCACAGAACAATGCCGGAGTGAAGGAAAGTTTAACCAGCTGTTTTTGGACATATTTGGCCAAATATCATATTTAAGGATAACCCATTTAGGGAGGCTTTGATGATCCTCTCAATTGCATAAGACGACAATAATGTTAATAAGCCAAGAGTTACCAGGATAAGGAAGAAGTCTTACCTGTTTCCTCTTTTCAGGGGGAAGTGACGGATCTCCATCCTACAAAGAAGCAAATAGGACATAGATCTTCTGTGCTTCCAGCAACTGACCAAACTCTGAACATAAATTCAGACCTTCCCCACCTCTACCACCCTGCAATCAATTATGTGTTGAAGCAAACTCAAGTAAGCTTTTTTTTAAAAAAAAAAAAAATTTTTAGTTTTAGGTGGACACAATATCTTTATTTTACATTTATGTGGTGGGAGGATCAAACCCTGTACCTCATGCATGCTAGGTGAGCACTCTAGACCACAGAGCCACAACCCCAGCCCGAATATGCTTTAAAAAAAAATTAACTGTAAACTGAGCCAGAATTATTTTGGAAAATCAGTTTGTTCCAATTAGGACCAAACCTATATACTGTCTGAACAAAAAGTTAAAAACCAGGCTCTATCAAAATTATTTCTGAGCAGAGACTAAACTGAAATAATATTTAGTTTCATTTGCATTCCTCTTTTGAGTAGTTAGTACCAAAGGGACAGTGACGGCCTCCCCCCATGAAGCCACCACCTGAGTGTTCTCTATGAGCAGAATAATGTGGGGGGGGGGTAGGATTTGCTCCACATAAAAAAGCACTATTAGAACTTTCAGTCCTGATAGACTTTATGACTTTTAAGGACTGAATTCCTGTCCCTTTAGGGTCCTCGGGGAATATAAATATTCAGGGAAATAAGTAAGTCTCATTGATCACATACTCAAAGGATGTGCTCCGTGGACAAGTCAACATTATTTAAACCTGAGGAACTTCTCTATTTTTCCCTACTCTAGAGCAGTTCAGTGACCCCAACCATGGTAAAAAGTTCGTAGTCRTGTCTGCACTTCCAAAAGAGACTGCATCAGTGAGGAAAAAATAAAAATCAAGAATGCAAAACACCACCATGCAGTTGGTATTCTCTGCTTCGGGATAAAAGGCACCCTCSAAAATCTTGCCTTATGATAACCTAGGGAGAAATCTTAAGCCCCCAGATAAGGGAAAACTTATAAAAATCTGGATAGATCCTTACTATGCAAATGTTTAAACGAATGAGTTAAATCCGTACCTATGACCTAGAAAGTTGACCAAAATAAAGTGCCGAGCAACAAGGGCAAAGTGTTAGACTAACTCTGGCCAGATGCTGCCTGGCAGGACAGCAGGGAGGAAATGTCCTCTGCCRATGGCCCAGTGTGGTGACCACCATGGGAGTGTCCCTGTCCACACCCTCCCTCACAGCAGCCACCAGCCACCTGCAGAGTCTGAGCCCATGGAACATGACAGGTAAGACTGAGGAAGTGAGTTTCTTACTTTGTTTAATTCAAATTGATTCAGCATTAAATTTAAAGAGTCACACGTAGCCAATGGCCTCTTTATCAAAGCAGACTTACAACACAGATCCTCTCTTAAAAAGTCCGTATCAATGGATTAATAAGGAAGTAGTCACACACACAAGCACGTATGTACACATGGGTGTGTTCAGAGACTCTAGAGCAGGCAGCCGAGAAGCACATGCCTGTCACCAAAGGTGGGACTGGATCGGGGCAGAAACGGGTGGCAACTTTCAACCAACGTGTCCGCTTTGGAACTGTTTGAATGCAATCATGTTTGTTTGTTTGTTTGTTTTGGATACCAGGATTGAACTCAGGGGCACTCCACTGAGCCACACCCCAGCCCTATTTTGTATTTGATTTACAGACAGGGTCTCGCTGAGGTGCTTAGCGCCTCGCTTTCACTGAGGCTGCCTTTGAACTTGTGAGCCTCCTTCCTCAGCCTCCTGAACCGCTGGGATTACTGGATGCACCACCACATCCAGCTGAACGCAATCATTTTTTAAGACAGAAGCCATGCAACCCCCTTCCTGTCTCCGTGGAGGGCACGGGACAGGCACAGTTGGCATCATACTTACGATCAGCTCCCGGTACTTCTTTTTGAGGGACTGGTGGCGTTCTCGAAGTTGATTGGCCATGAGCTTGAACTGGTCCCTCTCCTGCTGGCAGGTGTCCAGCTCCTTGGACAGGATCAGCAGCGCCTCCTTCTTGCTCTCCAGCTTTCTCTTGCACACCAGGTACTGCAAAGCAAGGCGCCAAGAGCAGTCAGCCGYGGCTCAGGGCCTGGGTGGAACATGCACTGGGCCTAAGCTGCCGACTGCGTTTTGAGGGAGCACTTAGCCGGGCACATTTGTCCTTAGGTGACACTGTGCCTACGGGCAGCTACAGGGCCCGATGTGCTATCCCCGAGAGGCAGAATCAAAACCTTGAGTGTTCTTGAACTTCAACAAACTGGGACAGATTAAAATAATTTAATTGTCAAATGAGTTTAAAGCAGAATATTCTTTTAAGTTACACACAGAGGTAAGTCTAGCTGGGCCCCAATTCTGTTTCAGAAAGATGCAGACATCCAGATAAGACTGTGATATAAAGACACTTAATTAAAGTAGTGTAAAAATGTTGCTAAAAATGATCACTCGGTGGTAAATTATTTGCCCAAGTTTTTAAATTTCCCTTTCTGCTTCTCTGTGTTTTCTAAAATTTCAAGAATAAACCCAAATTAGCAAGGATGGTGGAATGTGATAGACATCACTATCCAAAGTACATGTATGAAGACATGAATTGGTGTGAACATTCTTTATATGCAAACAGAGGTATGAAAAATTGTTCTACCTGTGTAATAAGAATTGTGATGTATTCTGCCATCATGTATTTAAAAAATAAAACCAAAAGAAAAAAAAAATAAACCCAAATGGTTTCTACAATTAAAATTGAACATATTATTAAAAATAATTTAGTTGGACCATAAATCATGCATAGATTGCTCCTTCTCATAAAGCCCAGCAGACGTTTCCTCAGCTGTAAATTTGTTCATGAACTTAACCATGATAGGTGCAAGTTTTTCTATGATTCAAAAGTAGAAACTAGTTTTAGGAGCTAAGTATTTTGGCCACCCTGAATTCTCCGCCAACACTTGTGCACTTGGCCAGAACTCCTGCCTCCTGGTTAGGGGATTTCTTCATCCCAATCCTCTGCACCATGAACCACCCACACCTAACCATCACCCTCTGTGGCAGCYGGYGTGAGCCCACCCAGGACTCTACTTTTATTGGATATATTGCACCATCTGGTGTTATTCACACATGTGAAATGTGGTACGAAATACCTTTTGAATTTGCCCCGTAAAAGACCAAATTCAGAGCATTCATGAAAACAATTTATAGTTTCATTATACACTCTGACATGAGTACTTTGTCATTATGGACGCTCACACAAAGCCGAGAGAGAATCAGCACTCCTGTCCCATTTGAGTCAATGCTCTTTTATGGACAAAAAGCATTACTCATATATAGTGCCTGCTCGCAACTGACTTTGTTAAGTTCAATTTCAAATAAATGAAAGGGAAAAACGAGAGTTTTGTGCATTAGCGCAATTTTTTTTTTYCCCCGTTGGAAAGAAGTAATTGCTTAGCTTCAAAAACAAAGGGGAAAGAAAAGGCATTCTGAGCTGGGCTCGAGTTCTGAGAGAGGACACTTCACCTTGGATGAGCTTTWTTCCTGGCAATAATGAGGTTGGAATCCTGCCTTACAGCGTCCTGGATTCTGAGAYTTTGACATCGTCTTGTGGAGGCCAAACAGTTCTGTCGCCAGAGTGATTTCTCAAGAGTAAAATCCCAAAGAGTAGATACCAGAGACCCACCCTGCAATGCCCTAGGGGAGGTATTGAGATTTCACAGGAAAAAGCACCCTTCACCCACAGGTGACAGATCTGCCCTTGTCCCTTCAGCTATTTTTGTGCGGTCAGCAGCCTCCGTTGTCAGGATTGCAGGTGTGGGTGGCACTAAGCAGTCACCTTTGTCCCTTCAATTTTTCAGATTTAAATCTGTGGCCCCAAAGACAGGCGATGCCTTTGACTTGAGGTATGAAGCTCCCAACYGTATGGAGACACTGTAAGCTGCAGCAGGGAGCCTAGGCTGGGACGTCTGGTCTAAAGAGGGGGACGGCGAAGGGCCATTCTTATTGGCAAAGTGGAGATTTGAGTTCCCTGGCCTTGATGGCTTCCTGTTAAGGTTCCAGAGAAACCATTTTCCTTCCAAGGTCCAGGGGGGACCTCGAAGCCAAGAGGGCAGCCACAGCCTCCTGGCTCTGGGTCTAAAGTGCCTGCAAGGAAACCGGCACTGCTAAGCCCCAGGGGCCTGGGCTTTGAGGAGCGGAGCTCTGCAGGGCTACTCCCTTGCGGCCATGGGAAACAGACGATTATAAGCTCCATGGAAACATAAGAAAGGAAATACAGTCTATATAGGACCAAAGCCACACCAAGGAAAGAGCAGTCTTTAGAAAGTCAAGGTTGAGCCGGGTGCAATGGCACATGCCTGTAATCCCAATGGCTCAGGAGGCCAAGGCAGGAGGATYGCAAGTTCAAAGCCAGCCTCAGCATCTTAGCTGAGGCCCAAAGCAACTTAATGAGACCCTGTATCACAATAAAAAATAAAAAGGGCTGGGCATGTGACTCAGTGGTTAAGTGCCCCTGGGTTCAATCCCTGGTACAGAAAAAGAAAGTCAATGCTGGGCTGTTCTTTCTTTTGCATGTGATGGTCTAGAGCACTGGCTTTCAAAGATTTTATTCCATGTCATTTATTTGTATCAGCAGGACAAGACTCAGGCTAAGCCTTGCTTATAAAACAGGCTGAAGTGGAGCTGAGCTCTTATAGAGCTGGCAGAGTGGACAGCTACCTGGACAGTCCCTTGAGTCCACAGGGAACGCTGCATGATCCAGGAATAAACTATTGCCATGTTAAGGTACTGAGATTTGAGGGTTGTTTGTTATAGTAGCTGAATTCAGCCCATCCTGACTAATACAGCCTACATGAAAAAATGTGAGGGTGTGGGRCTGGCGGAGAGTACACTCACCCCTGCCCTGAGCCTGTGTTGTGTCACTCCAATGATGAAGAGGCGTAATGTTACCACTATTCATATTACTATTAACAAGAAAAGGCAGTTGTGTGAAAGTGCTTTACATGTATGATCTCCTTAGATCCTTACCAAAACACAATGACGTTACAGTGTCGTTATCATCGATATTTTATAAATGAGGGAGGATTGAATGAAAGAGCTTAAATAATGTGCCATAGATTGGCAGAATCAGAATTTAAACCCAGATCTTTTTTAAAAATATTTTTTTTGTAGCTGTAGTTGGACACAATACCTTTATTTTATTTATTTATCTTTATATGGTGCTAAGGATCGAACCCAGGGCCTCACACATGCTAGGTAAGTGCCCTACCACTGAGCTACAACCCCAGCCCTGAACCCAGATCTTTACAGAGCCAGCCTGGGGAACCCCAATTCCTGAAAAATGGTCAGCATTCTGTACCCCTCCCCCAGAAATTAGAATCATCATGGAGTTGGGGCTACATCTAGTTGGTGTTCCTAGAATACGGAAGRTAAGAAGGGACTGTTTAATTTGGCTACTTTTCTGAATTTGCTAGAATAAATGGGTATGAAAATTTTTATTTATTCATGTAACTCTCTTTAAAACTAGTGCAAGTTTCTCTAAAACATTCCCCAGTGCAAGGCCAGACAGGAAATGAAAAAGAAAAGATCCCCAAGGATCCCTCYTCCGCTTCTTGTGAGGACCCAAGTGGGAAATGGGGTAGAACGGTAAGGCCTGGGGAAGGAATGAGCATTGTCTTCTCAAAGTGGACTGACCCCAACTCKAGTTTTCTGTAAGCTCAACAAACATCTCCTGGGCGCCTCCTTTGGGTTGGGCCCTGAGCAGAGCACTGGTCCYCCCAGAGGGATAAATGGTCCTGCTGAGTGTTGAAAAGCAAAAATGGGGTGCCTAGATGATGCAGTTTCCCTTCCTGTTATCCTGAAGACCAGACACATTTTCCCGTCTGGTGAGGGACTGAGCTGATCTGAAGGTGCTTGTGATCTTCATCCCGGAGCTCGATCGTCATACAGGTTCTTGGGAAAGGTTGGTGGGTTTGCTCCGGGCGGCTGCCCAAGCCTCTGCTGGGGGGACACGGAGCATCCAGTAACTCATCACCKTTCCCTTCAGATGCCCCCAACTCCTGCACCCGAAACACATCGGGGGCCCAAGGACTGTGGATTCAGAAGCTAGCGTTTATTTGAAAGKCACCCTGGCAAATCTCTGCCTGGTCTCCGGAACGTGTATGACTGAAATCAARCCTTTCTCAAACAGTGGTTGCCCCCAGTTAAAGCAGGCATTAGATTTCCACACGAACCTTCAGACTCACACTGTGCCTGTGCCCATTTCCAGAGCCTCCTATTTCCTCTCTTTCAGAATCAGCACCCAAGGCTGGAGCTGGGACGAGCCTCACAGGTAACCCCAGTGACTCTCCCGACGGCAAAGAACAAAGTTCCTGTCAGCCAGAATATTCCGGAACATCCATAATATCCCATGGTGTTTTCAAATCGTGGTCATGATCCATTAGTCTGGGTAGTGAAATCAATTCAGTTGTAACCCTCATTCTCTTTAATAGGAAAAAAGAAAGAAAGAAAGAAAGAAAGATACAGAACTGAGCAGAAACTGTCCGAGTGCGTCCCGTGCAGTAAGGGTCAGGGGCTTCGAGGGCTGCCACGTTAGAAGTGTGAAAGTCACTACCACTGCACACTTTCTCATTCTTTCAACAGATGTTTAGATATTCTCGTGCCAGGCACAAGAGAAACACAGGTTGGGGGTGGGGYGGGGGGAAAGAGCTTCAGAGATGATGCTGGGCATGAGCGGGCACCAGAGGCACCCGGACAACCGTCACTGCGTGAGCGAGTCACCAGCTCTGACTTTCCGACTGAGGCAAGATCTGATGAGTCAGGACTGAAGTGCGCCATGTTAGCACGCCATGTAAAGTTTTTAAAAATCAGACATTACTTGTGCATCATTTAAGGCAAACGAAGCATTTGCCCAAACYCTCGCTTAATAACCAACACCGTGACAACTGGCACCAGAACTGTTTTTCCCATTATATGGGCCAAGTAGCTGGGATTCAGAAAGGTTCAGTGTCTTTCTCAGGGGCACACTGCTCAAAGCAGAAGTTTCCAGTAGACGTTCCAAGCTCCTT